ACACCTCTATGACATCGACGTCCCAGGCAAAATCACCTTTCGGGAGTCGGACTTTTTGACGCCGGGCAACGCACTGACCACCTTTGACACTCCGTTCTGCAAAGTGGGCGTCGGTGTATGTTTCGATATTGCGTTTGCGCCCATGACTCAAATATACGCGCAGCTTGGTTGCAAGTTAGTTGTGTATCCTGCAGCTGTGAACACGACAACCGGTCCGTTGTATTGGAAGTTGATTCCGAGGTGTAGGGCGTTTGAAAACCAGGTTTACGTGGCAATGGTGTCGCCCGCAAGGGATGAAACGGCGTCGTACGTCACCTGGGGACACAGCATGTTGGTAGATCCGACCGCCAATGTGATACAGTCTGCGGGGGTTGGCGAAGAACTTGTGCTTGCCGACGTGGACTTCAGTTATCTGGATTGGGTGAGGAACCAAATGCCCGTGAACAACAAAAAAAGGGATGATTTGTACAAGGTGGTAAGCTGTAAAGATTGAAGAACTGACGTTTCGGTTTCCTCAAGACTGTTACCTGTGACAACTACAAGGCGGAAATGATTGGCCTATGCATTCTAGGGAGGATCATTCTGCTTCTTTGGGATTGGGCCATTTACTTTGAGCTCGTGGCGTTTTCTATCAAAGTGTGCGTTTTATGGGATATTTCTTATTCTTGAGTTGCTTGTGGTTAGTTTCTCAAATATGCAGAACAGTGAAATTTAGGCAGCTCTATGTTGCTTGTGAAAGCACATGACAGAGAGCTAGGAAGAAAAAATGAAAAAGATTATTTTCAACTAATATATAGTTTAATGAGATTTCGTTAATATTCATAATATTAATCGGTAGACTTTTTCTTTTTCTGCTATAGGTATATAATATTATAAAGGGAGATACGTTTTCTTCCTTGCTTCTCTCAATGCCTAAAGCTGTATAGTCTTGGTAACAAGGAACAATTGTCGTTGCTCATTGAAATGCTTTTTCTCTAATCAATCTAATTTTACAGTTCGATACAGGCTACTTGACGAAGAACAAAACTACCGGCTTCAAACGAAGCGCGTTTATTTTACTGACTTCATTACCTTGAGCTACTCTCCTTTCTAGGATTCCTCTTCGTTATCTAGATCCAGACAATGACTCCGTGACAGCAAATTTTCAGTGTTCAACACTCGCAGGAATGATATGTGTCTGGAAATGACAACCCGTGATCCAATTAGATGAATGTTTCACATGTTATTAATTTTGATAGAACTATAACTGTGCTTTCTTCGGATACAATGGCAGTTTCAGCAAGCGAACGATCAATCGTGCGAAATCGTGCGAGGAATACGACTTCGACCGTTTTCCTGCCGGTTACGGCGATTTCAAATAGTCGTTTCGGACACGCTCCGCGATAAGATTCTGAGCCAGCTCGAGGACAGTGGAACTTCGCGTTGCAGTCTTCTGAAGCTCGGCAACTCCGTGATCAGCACAGCCAGCAATCCAGTCTTTCTGCAGCCGCAGTCACTCTGCAGCCACAGGACTGAGAGCCTTAGCATCGGGCCAAAACCCCGGGTGTGACTCCAAGAAACCAGGCAAGACTCGCTCAAAATTAACGGAAACCCCGGTACAGAGAACCTGAAACTAGACCAAAAAACGAGACAGCACCAACACAATCACCGGCCTTCAAAGACGTCTGAAAGGAAAGGTACGTATTCAGTCACATATTATGAAGTTTTAGGTGCCATCGTAACGGGCTCGCGTCGACTCCTCAAAAGCCATCGGTTAAAACTCCCAATTTTCAACTCGGGAGAGCCTGGAGAATGCATCTGAACTCCACCATCGAGGCACCACGAATTCATGGTCGGCAACTGGCCAGCTGAAAAGAAAGGAAAATGCAATACAGTATACCAGTAAACACGATTGCAACCCCACCAATCTCCCGAGCGGACAGTGTAAAGTCCAGTCGAAATCTAGCAAATCCCATTCGACGGGATGCCACTTGCTCGAATATTGGCCAACTGAAAAACAAATAAACCAGGCAATACAGCGACAGGGAAAGTGCTTTACTTTCAAGAGCCGCTCGTTGAAACATTCGCACACTGAAAAAAAGTTCCCGAAAGGCAACTACACGGTTAAATATGCAAGCCCGCTATTCCCGGAAGCTGTGCGTGTTCGTGAAGGGAGGGGAGCACAAAACAAAAGCACAGAATATGCTTTTCCAACTTTTTATTATAAACCGGTACACATTTGTGAGGGAGAGAGATTTTGCGAAAGAAAAGGCTGCAACCTGGAACAAAACATTTCGCAGAAAGACTCGCAACTTAAAACAACGGTCCACAAAAAGAACGTAAAAAAATACGCGCAAGGAAATGCTGGGACCTCCAACAAAAAGCCAGGAAAGAAAAATCCGCAACCTGCGACAAAAAATCGCAAAAACAAAACAAAACAAAAAAAAACTCATGATCAAAGCAGGTTCGCTGCAAACAAGGATATACCTTTTTTTTTTTCCTTTTTAACTAATACACTTCAGTTGCGAGTACGGCTGTTGTCCTGTCGCAAGTGTTTCTTTCGTGGCAGGGAGGAAGAAATCGTGATATCCTCAATTAAATATTTCAGATTTATTTGACTTAATACAGATTTTTTTATTTGAATTATTCTAGCTAGAAGAAAGGAATTCATTAGTACGAAATGTATTCCTAAACATGCCAGATTGATTATCAATCCATTTGACCACTATAAACACAAAAAAGGACTAATGTCCTTTTTTGTGAATTTAATAATTTACAAATTTAATTTAATAATTTAATTTAATTTAATAAAGATAAATTTAATAAACAATATTTTATTTATGTAAACCCACCATACTAGAACAAAAGAAGCTTATTGCATTAATTAGTAGAAAACCTGTGCTTGCATTTTCTTTGTTTTTTCTGTTTGTTCCGAGGATATTCATTTTCTTGTTTTCATTGCTTTCTTCCGCGCTTTGATTTGCTTGCAGTAGCACCGGACGTAACTTACAAACGAATTGCAGCGTAGAAAAAAGCTCGATATTCTGATTTGCTCAGAATAGTTGTCCACTTGAATCTTTGATTTAAATAAAACAGAAGCGTAAATTGGAAGTATCAAATGATAAAAAAACAGTAAATAAAAAGTATTTTGGGGTGTTTTCTGCGAGAAAGCTTTAACTTAAATCATCACAGTAAAACTGGTGATATAGTTCAAGATTTATATTATGACTTGAATTATCTTGATTTTTATTCTCCAACCCGTTTTGTAGCCCTCGTGCTTTTTGTTGTTAATTTTTTTTTAACTGTTATGTTTATTATGTTAGATCCTGAAAAGATATTACTGGGAAATTCATGCGTCTTCGTTACCCGCTAATAAAGTTTGCTGTTGGCTCATCCCGCTTCAGCTACAGCCGGTTTGTTACTGCGACGTGAAAGAAAGGCTTCACTCCCATGTCGAAAACCTGCTTGCGACAAAGCAAAACATGTATCCCAGCTGCGCGAGCACACCGCGAGGGGAGTCTTTCGTTATGCCGCGAGTTAGCGTTAAATAAATAATAAATGTTGACGGTTGTTTTCACCCAGGTACTCTTGAATTTCAAATTTTGACAAACATTTTCAAGGTTGGTTCAAGCAGTTTCGTTAGTTCCTCTCGCAGAAATTTTGGTGAAAACCAGGACAGGGATTGTGCGACATACCTCGCAGCTTCCATTACCGCATGGTCGACTTTCAGTGCTCTCAGACAAAGTTGTTTTGGACTTAACTATGGCATCCCCAAGATTACTCGATCGTCGGTATACCAATCAGGGAACGGTTGTAGTAACCTTTCTTGGGCGGTCACTCTGCTCTAAAATGTTACAATGTTATGGTTTTTGTTGTTGCTTTTTCTTATATGACTGACGTTAGGAGACTTATTGCTGAAGGTCAGCAGGAGGTTGGCTTGACGGCCATTTTCTGTCTGGGAACATCGTTCGCTTAATAACTCGCCACGATCAAGAGCCTGCGCCTTATTGATTGCATCGTCTATAACTGCTTCAGGGTACTTCTGTTCTTATAATACTTGGGCGCATAATACACAATCAATTATCACCCCACATCAATTCTATACTTTCTTTTTCAACAGAGTATACAGCAGCTTCCCGCTGGCGGTACACTTCTTGACTTCGATAAAGCCTTCCACAAAGCGCCGCAATATTTACTGGTTCTACACCTTTAGAACATGGATATTTGTGTGTTTTGGTTGGATCTGAACTTTCCTCTAGCAATAAGCACAACATTTTCTTAAACTCGCGAGGAACGCCTTTCATGCGCCCAATTTCACTTTCCATTTCACTCCATGTTCAGTGTGATAAGTGCCATAAAAGAAAATAACAAATTTTCATCACTTGTACAGTACGGTTTATTTACCGATCGAATAGCTGCATTTCACCTGCGGTGAAAAACAGCTATTCGATCGTCTGCAATATATGCCCTCAGTCAACCGCTGGAGGGGACGCCAATCTAGATAAATTACTCAAAATGAACTAGGACATTTTGAAAGAAACTAAAATAAAGGTATATCCTTGTCACATATAACACACCCCAAAACTTCAGTTCGACGTGCCGCTCACGGACGTTGAACCGACGGTACCAACTTTTACGGGCGGCTTGATAGCGGAGTTGTAGAACTGGTCTCCTCGACCCTACTGCAAAACATCAGTCATGTTGTTTTTTTTTGTATTCTTTGATAGGTGCTTAAGTGTTTAATATATTATGTCGCACCGTCATAAAGCCTGTAAAAGTTGGGGCCGTCAATTCGACGTCAGTGCGTTGTACGTTGAACAGAAGTTTTGGGGAGTATTATATGAGACAATGGGTGTAATAGCTACACACTCTCTTTTTAGAGTGAATAGAATTGCAGATCCTCTTCTCCCTTTGTCACGCGGTAATTTCCGCTTATATAGACGGACGCTCAACCGCGCAGATATTGTAACCCTGCCAAGGAGTTGCTTCCGGAGGCAAGGCGTAATCATAACGGCATCCCTTGTTATTGAAACCGATGGCCCGGCTACCCCGTTTTTCCAAGAGCGGCCATGATCGAGGCGCCTCACGAAGGATTTCCTTCGTTGATAAGCTGTGGCAACCCATACATCCTGCGGTTGTTTACGTATCGATACGACTACGCTGATTCAGAGGTCTCTGCAGTTTCGCAATTCGTCGCATACATTCATCCATCATAACAATGGTTCCGATTGCGGACCGACCACGGAGTCCGCAACAGTGACGTAATGCGCATGTATTGTTCATCGGAAAATATCTGATTGGTGCCACCTGAGGGAAAACGCCAACCGTAAATAACACCTATACCGCCTCCGCTGAAAAAGGCAGCAGCCACATTTTAACTTGGCATGCTCTGAAGCACAACGTTGGACGGTGGTTCAGTGTGGTTGTTACTGGAAGTTGTCAAACAAGGCATTTTGTGCGTTCGGACTGAGAAGTCATGTCGATGAACACGTTTCGCCTGGCCCTGCTCCAGCTCGCGGTGACAACCAACAAGGCGAAAAACCTGGAGAGAACAAGTAAGATGATCAGGGAGGCGGCTTCTGCGGGAGCGAAGATGATCTGCCTTCCAGAATGTTTCAACTTCCCGTACGATCCGAAGGTCTTTCGGAAGTATGCCGAGGATATTCCCGGAATGTCCAGCGAGATATTGTCAAGGTGCGCCAAAGAAAACCGGGTCTATCTCGTCGGTGGCACGTTGTCAGAGCGTGACAATGGCAAGTGCTACAACACCTGCTTGGTGTACGGACCGGACGGTTCGATGCTGGCCAAGCATCGCAAGGTTCACCTCTTCGACGTCAACATCCCGGGCAAACTCATCTTCAGTGAATCAGACTTCTTAGCGCCGGGTGATGGACTGACCACTTTCGACACCCCGTTCTGCAAAGTGGGTCTCGGCGTCTGCTACGATATTGGGTTCGCGCCCTTTGCTGAGGTGTACGCGCAACTTGGTTGCAAGTTGCTGGTGTTCCCGGGAGCCTTCAACATGATTACAGGTCCGCAACATTGGGAACTGCTTTGGAGGTGTAGGGCGTTTGACAACCAGGTTTACGTGGCCTCGGTATCACCCGCGAGGGATGAAACAGCAAGCTACATTACTTGGGGCCACAGCATGTTTGTGGATCCTTCAGGCAAGGTGGTCAAGTCAGCTGGGTTTGGTGAAGAGCTCATTTTAGCTGAATTAGACCTGGATTATCTGGCCTCGGCGAGGGACCAGATGCCTAAGATTAACCACAAGAGAACTGATTTGTACAAAGTAGTGAGTTGTAAAGACGTGGGCTCTAACGTGGCGGCTTCGTAAAGACGGATCTAGCCCACGGCGTCTGCAAGCCGCTTCTCTCTAGCATTTGCCCTGCGTGACGAATCCAATGTAAGTAATCTTGTGATAATCACAGATTTTTGCTTTAAAGACAAATTTCGGATGTCATGTACTCGTTTTTGTTCTGCCCGTGGTCAAAGGGTCATGTCGTGAGAACAGACGTGTCTGAGAACACATATGTTCGTGTTTTAAATATTTTTTAGCTCATTCGTAGTGCACAATTTGCTGTCACACACCAATAAATTGACCGTAACACTTGACCTGGCGCACCTTGCAACGATTTTTTTATTTTTTTTTTTATTTACCATATGTTGGGCTTGTAGTATCCCCAGTTTCAGGACGGTACCAAGCGGGAAATAAGTGCACAGTGTCGACGGGAGTTAACGCTTTAATCGTTTCACGGATGTGGTGATGTCAGTGCGCTCCTGAATTTGGTCAGCAAGATAATAAAACGTTTTTGTTTAAAAATTATAATAGATATGCTTTAGTCCTCATCTTGTTTTGTAATGACTCCAGGAGTTGATCGCGCAATGTAGGTATCCTTGACAAACATCGCCATATTGGTAAACTCATGCTGAGGTGCAACGATGAGACGAAACAAGAGGGTATAAATTGGGGCAGGGCGGGCGCTGATTGCACGTTTGCAGGAAAAATTCGTGTATCGAAGAAAGTTTAAAATTGGGTCAACATTGAGGCACTAGCGATTTCAGCAGTATACGTTGCACAGCCCCTTTCTAAGAGATGCACCATAGACTACGGAAAACCTGAACCACTGCTTTTCGATCGTTCCTCGGCTGCAGAAATGCTTGCGATGTAGGTGGACCTATACATACTATCAAGATATTTTCACCCTTTAAAGGTATAAAGATGTGATAATTGAAATACACTTCTCGCTTTTATAAATGCGTTGAACATTATCAACATTCTTTGCTAATAACAATCGCACACTTGTATATTTAGATTTAAACAGATGACTATATGCTTCGTTCTAAACGGCCGATTCCATCCAGTGCTCGAAAAGCAGCCATTGGAAAGGGCGAGAGAGACAAAGAAGGCTTGTGAAAGAGGACATACTAACGTGTATGCCATAGCCAGGGGTCAGACGGTCATCATTAGTTGGGAGGGGGAGGGGCTAACAGCTGATAATTTGTGAAACCATGTTTCATCTTGGACGTTCTGGATCAGTATAACACGAGCCCACGGTCTTCAAATAAACCCTGAAAATCTGCATGATTCTCAGCGTTAATATGCTCGTCGAGTCGGATTTATCACAGTAACCCTCATTTTATACGTTGACGAAAAAAAACGGAATACTTCCCGTAATTCAAGGTAAAGTGCCAACGCGGCACTTTACCTTGAAATACGTAAAGTATTCCGGTTTTTTTTTTTTTTTGGCCAACGTATAAAATGAGGGTTACTGTGGTAAATCTGAATCGACGAGCCTATTAACGCTGAGAATCGTGCAGATTTTCAAAATTTATCCGAAGACCGTGGGCTCCGTTATACTGACCCAGTCGTCTTTCCGATGATTAACAAAAGGTGGTTTAGCCCCAACGTCCCTTCAGGACAACAGATACATATTGATATGTTCCTGTGTTTCTCCAAGCTAATTCAACCATGAGATTACATCCTCAACTGTTCCAGTGCAGTAGCAATTTCAATAAAGGCGCTGATCTGCCTCCGTGCTCTGGCATAGCAAATTTTCTTCATTCGAGTTATCGTTCAAGCACTGTGGCCCACTTCTTAAAAATGTAACCCCCCCCCCCCCCCCAAAAAAAAAAGAAAAACAATAAAAACCCTCCAAACGAACTCTTTGGAAAAAAGAATTATGTTTAAAATATAAAATGCAGAAAGTCATCACCAACAGAGCCAAACAATCACGCTGCTGCTACAAGCGCGATAAGCATCCGGCCAAGGTTTTTCGTCATCTGCACCAGTCTCCGGCAGCACCCTACAGTACTCCTTTGACACGCAGCGCCTTCTTACGTCAGCGGCCGAGGTTATCGTTGGAAAAGCCTGCGCAGTGTCGGTGCACGAAACACTGCCAAGGGCCACGGAAACAAAAGGGGGGGGGGGGGGGGGGGGGGGGCAACTGGGGTTTGAGCACCCGCTGACATTTTCCAGGGGGTGCTGGGCAATATGCTCAGAGCCCCCGTGCGTTTGGCTCAAGGCCGACTGAACAATGCCTACACCCCTCCCCCCCCCCCCTTCCTCCCTCCCCTCCGTGGTCCCGCTTTTGTTCAGCTCCGCCAAGCCACGCAATTGGCTAAGGGCAAGCACATGGCTCTCTTTTTGTTACGGCTGGTTACCCACCCACAGCAAAACCATCGCCCACGAAATTCCAGAAAAAAATTACGAAGAAAAGCAAAGTGTCAGTAAACTGCGGACGACTCAACAAAACCGAGAAAATTAAAAAAAAAAAAAATGAAAGACGCTTACAACTTCCTGTAACACCTATTTAGAGCCCAGCTCTTGAGGAGGAGGAGGGGAGGGTATGCCCCTCCTCCTCATCCGTACTCTCTCCCCCTCCCCTCCTCCTCCTTTCCCACGCGAATCGCGCGTCGTTTCGACGACGTTTCGGTGCGGTGCCAAAACGTCACATGACGATTCGGTGAAGTCACGTGACGTTTCACCACGTGACTTGCACCGAAACGTCCCGAGTGACGTTTCGGCGCGATTCATTACGGGGCGATGCGATTCATTACGGGGCGATACGAATGCAAAAGCGCCTGCCGAGACGTCGCAAGTGAGGTTTCGGCGCGGTGCATTATGGGACGTTTCCCATAATGCACCGAGTTGTTACGCTGACGCCGACGCCGACGCCGCTCAAGCCGGAAACGGGCGCCTAAAGCGCGATCCAAACCAACGCTTCTTTTTGCGCCTGTAGGTCGTGCGGCTGCGGATGTGACGTATTTTCGTGACGTCGCGCCGCTTCTTCGCTCCTTCCGGGCGCGCACAAGAAAGTTGGTTGATTTCAACTTCTTTCTCAACGCGCACAAAAACGCGCGGTGACGTAGAAGGGCGCTCCTGTGTCCCGGCCAATCGGTGGAGGGCAAGCTAGTTCCGGCTCCGCGTTTCTCGCCGTCTGGCTGCCCTCTCCTCCCCCCCTTTTATACTCTTCCAACATGACAACGCGATCTCTCTCTCTCTCTTCCTCTCGCCGTCTGGCCGGCCAGTCTGTCGCAGTTGCACTTTGCTTGTGCGCTCGTGCCGAAGTTTCGCCCGTCCAAACTAAAGCGCACGGTTCAGAGGCCAGATTCATAAAAAACCTCTTACCTACGACAACTTAGCTACGAAGTTCGTAAAGTTACGATCATCGTAAGATGAGACGAGAACGGTATTCGCAAACGCGTTCTTAAGTGAGAGGAGGAAAGTTACGACCTCTTACGGAGAAACGATGACTTCCGGTGCTGTTGTTATGGCAACGGCGTCTTCGGCAAAACGAACAACCAATTAGAGAGCTAGGCATAGTTCGGAGCACGTGGATTTTTAATAACAAACACAGGCTAACCACTCGTTGATAGACAGCTCCGTGTATGTCCTGTCCTGTCTGTGTGTAAATCTGTAGTGTTCAAGCTGATTCTCATAAACACGGGCGACCTTTCCACCACCGCTTGTCTGGGGTTCGTGTCCGTGCAGTGGTATATCGACGCTAACAGGATTTAAACGCTTCGTTGACTGCTACAAACTCGATCGCTACGAAGTCAACACAACTGTCATCGTTGGTAAAAGCCCCGTGCCAGTCGTTTGCAAAGCGACGTAGAAGGAAACAAACCGCCGCGGCGTTTCTCGCAGGCTCGGAAATGCAGGAGTGAGCCGACGTTAAAAAAGATACGTTTGAACTACGAGAGTGTCAGCAAGAGCCACGCAAATACCTGTTCACACTCGGAGCGGACGCGTGCGTTTGATCGAAGTGCTGGATTCAGACTGCGTTTCGGTAAGCGCTTCGGGACCGATCTTCTACGATTGCAACTCGATACTGACGTGACACTCGGCAAAGAAAGGTTGGACCGGCATCGCGTAGCTCCCACAAACTGATACAGCTCGACAGTTAAAAATGGCATACTAATAACAAAGTGTACATACCGTGTTGCGAAGGTAATCCATACGGCGTTTATTTGAGCTCTATATCACACAAAACAAGGAGATAGAATCGAGGAGTCCCTTTTCGACGACAGCGTTCGTCACCGCTGCCTCGGAAAACAAGGTGAGAGATGATAAGGGGAATCGGTTGACCTCTGAAATTTAGTTCAGCTATCAAACTATTCATACGGGGAGGGTCCACAAGGGTCGCGCGGGCATATTCCATTCAGCAAGCCAGCCGGTCGTGGGCAGACGGTCTTGGCCAAGGACCGCCTGAGCAATGCTGCGCCGGAACGGGTCGGAGTGCCTGCTAGGCCTATATATTCTGCGAGCTCGCTTGGTCGGTGGGATCGTCGCCTTTGTTGCCTTTTCCGGGTGTCTGGATCCAGCGTTCATATTCGTCGTGGTCGGTTTCAAGTACTTCTTCATTTCTTTCTTGCTGCTTGAAGTCGGGACGCGCAAGAAGAGCAGGTAGAAAAATAAATGTCCGTTGGGTCGTCGCGACCGAGCAACCGAGCGACGTTGTCGGCCATGTTAATTTGATCGACAGCTTCGGAGCTGTCGTAGGATTTTGTCGTAACCTGCGCAAAAGTTACGACAATTTCGTTTCGAGAATACGGATTTTCTCTCAAATTTGTCGTACGCATTTTTTTCGTCGTAAGTTCGCTTTGAGAATCTGGCCTCAGACTCAGAAAGCGCGCCCGGAAACAGCAAAAATGCCACGAAATGCGTCACATCCGCAGCCGCACGACCTACAAACGCAAAAAGAAGCGTTGGTTTGGATCGCGCTTAAGAGCTGCGCTATAGAAATAAAAGCCGGCGCCTTGGGCTTGCATTGCACAGTGAGGGAGATCTGCTCTCCTCACCTGCTTGGTCGTTTTCCTGGGGCCCTCCGATACTGCATTCGCGGATGGCAATGCAGGGGAACGCGCAGCGCGCGTTTTTTTTGTCCACCCAGCCAGCCGGCTTCTTCGTTTTGCTTCTATTATGGGCATTGTATGACGTTTCCCAAAGACCATAAAACTTTCTTCTAGTTGTTGTTTTTTTGTTTTTTTTTTCCTTGCAGCTGCGCTTTTCTTTTTTTTTTTTTTTTTTTTTTTTTGCTTTGGCGGTTTGAGCAACCACAAAGGTCGGCTAAGTGAGATGTTTCGTCCACTTCGTATTATTTTTTACTAAG